ATCCCTGGTAATGAGAGAACTAGAACAGAATGTGACAAAAAAAAAATACCACTGGGGACACTGTGATCATCCATGATTTATCTCCATCCCTACTCCATATATGGTGTCTAAAGACATTAACAAGAGATGATTAACATCTCTGTGACTTTGTTGAAATGCAGATCTGAAAATTGTCAAGGGGAAAAATACAAATACAGCAAAAGGTGTGGGACTGTGTTGGAAATGAGACATTTGTGTATCTGAGAGAAAGATCTGTATGTTTTCCATGAGGTGGAAGTGCTCAGTAGGAACCAAAAATAAAGGCTGAAATAAATCAGTGGGAGTACTCATCAGTGCTTAATATAGGATGAAGTATATTTTTAAAAAAATAATAAATAAATACAAAAACTGGCAATCTAGATGGATCTGAAATTCCTTCCAAAGTGTTTCTTTGTAGCCCTTCTCTGAGTAAGGGGAAGAGTGGATTGACACTGGATGGGGAAGCACTTGGCATTAGCATTTAACAAGGAGAGAGCTACTTACATGCATCAGAATTCTGGTACTGTGAGAACACAAGAGAGATTTATTTTCCATTAATTTGTCATGCCATGGGAGTTGAAGCATCGCAGCACGCTTTTGCTATAGCCTAGATAAAGAAGCAGCAGCCGCATCCACTAAATTGCAAGAGAGGATGTAGTAATAGGGAAACAAACTGAACTGGAAAGGAAGAATGGAATCTGGAAACGCTATCTGCCCAGATCTCTCCAGAAAGGTCTCTCCCACTTTCATTCTGCTAAAGGTGTCTGCTCGGGTCAAGGCAGTCCAGCAGATCTGATCTAGAACCGTAACTGGGGCACGGTGGCCCATTTGCTTGGTAGGAACAGAAAAGCTAAAGTGACCAGTTCTGTGATCTTCTGTTTTGCATTGATTTCCACTACAAATGCCACCCTGAAATGGCATATTAACAAAATTCTGTCCAGAATATTTTACAGATTCTTTCCCAAGTCAAGGAGATAAAGTTAAAAACAAAACAAAACAAAAACCCCTATGATCATAATTAAATCATGTGAAAGACCACCCAATATAGGTATTTTTAGTTTTCTCCGGAACTTGAGAAAGTTTCTTTTTTGGGCTTCAACTCTAGAATCCTCTCAGCTAGAAAAGCAAAACCTTTCTCATTCTCTGCTTTCCACTGATTCCTGAATTGGTCCCGTGAAGAAAATGGAACAGTGGAAAGGGCCTCTGTGTCTCTGCTTAAGCAGCTGGGACACACTGGATATTTAGTGAGAGCCATTTCTCCCTTGTTGAGCTTCTACCTTGTCTCATATGTGTGTGGAGCAGCAGGCGCCCAGGGAGGTGCGCAGCTGCTTCTTTTTGGCACCCTTCCACCTTGTGTTTTTGCTGGCCTGCTTCTTGGTTCCAAAAAATTATACTGTTCATCAGACAGAGGCACATAGGCTGGAAGTATATATAAAATGGTGGTGGTGGTGGTGGCCATAAGAAAGGATGTCTGGGGGAACATCCAGAAGCTTATGTTATACAATAGGAGGGTAGACTCAGAGGGTTCTTTCTGCAATTGGAAGGGCCTCAAAATCCAGGGGAGGCTCTCAGTGGAGGCACAGGGAGCAGATTTTAACCAATTGTCACGGCACCTCACCATTCTTTACCAGGGGACGCCCCCCCACCTGTCCCTTGGAAAGAGCTTGTCAGGGGCTGCAAGGTGGAAGAGGAATTGGTGAAAATGATTTCCCCATTCCATCTTTCAATGGAATTGTCCTGTGAGCAGAGTTTTGCTAGTGAAAATTCTGGATTCAAAGCTATGTTGCCCTTTAGCTCTGCCTGGGATTGGTTTTATTACTTCAGTGCCACACCATGTTGTGCAACACAACCAACCCCACCCTTAACGGAGGTCTCCTTCCTGCCTGTCAAGTGGAGGATTAAATTGATTGGCTTACTGGATGCTTCCAATGCTCACTGTGCGTGTTCCTCAAAACCAAACTTTGGTGAGAAGGTAGGAATAGAATCATAGAATAGTCGAGTTCGAAGGGACCTATAAGGCCATCAAGTCCAACTTCCTGCTCAAGGCAGGAATCCAAATCAAATCAAAGACAGTTGCCCAATTTTTGTCTTGAATGCATCCCACATTGGAGCACTCACTACATCTCGAGGTAATTGGTTCTATTGTACTACTCTAACAGTTAAGAAGTTTTTTCCTGATACAAGTGATGTGCTTTGTTAGAGGTTTATAAAGTATTCACGTACAAGCTGAAGAAATTATGCAAGGAAGTGCGGATGGATCAGAAGACCATGGACTCATCTTGTTTTGTTTTGTTTCTAGGCTCTTTTTGCTTTGTCGTCAATGCTGCGAAACTTTCCCTATGCTCAGATGCAGTTCCTGAAGCTTGGAGGCCTTCAGGTACTGAGAGATCTCTGTACCGAGAAAGAAATGGCACCGTTACATGTCCGCATTGTGACACTTATCTATGACTTAATAGTGGAAAAGGTAAGAGGAGGCATAATTCACAACTTTCAGAGGAAAGAACATGGGAATGTACAGAGTCCCTTTGGAGAAACAAAACGCTTCCAAAAACCGTTTTTAGGAAAACATGACTTTTCCTCTTACCATTGATCAAAGAGCGCAGGGAAATGGAATGACAGATCCTAAGAGGTGTACCACAGCTTGTGGGAAGTTCATACTCTAAGGTCCATGCATAGAGCTATGGAGTCTTTCCAACTAACATTATAGTTATATTTATTGAATTATTTCTTTCCCAGCTCTTGGCTGTCAAATGAGCCCCTTCTTCTAGTGCCACGTATTTGTAATTTTATTTTGAAGTAGATTTTTTTTTCTGGAAGAATTAGAAGAAGTGAGCTTCCTTATGAGAATGCAGCAGAAAAATCCAATAATAAATAAATAAGTGGCATCTGTAGGGCAAGAGCAGACAAGCTGTGTTCTTCCAGACGTTAGACTGCCATTCACGGGATTCCTCATTATCAGCTGCTCTGAATCATGGTAATGGGAGTTGCAATATAGCAACCTTACATTGTTCCCCTACCCTGATGTAGGGATTACTAAATTATGCTGACTACCTCTTTCTCACTCTCTTTTTTTTCTCTCTTTCTCTTTCTGTCTCTTTTTTTGTACTTCCACAAAACCTGAGATGATGTGAAACGTGATCTTAGCTCCCTGTTGTTTCTTCTCATTGAATTTGGGGTTCTGTTTCTGTTGGGTTAGCTATTTGGAGGGAATAATTTAGAGTAATCAGTGTTTCACCTCCACGTCACAGTGCCCCCCCCCCGTGAGGTAGTTCAGGGTCATTATCTATCTGTTGCCAGGAGGAAGCTGAGGCTGAGAGGCCGTGGCTTGCCTAAAGTAATTTGTAACAAAGCCAAGATTCAACCTGGGGGACTCCAACTTGCAGCCCTGCCTCTTAGCGGCTGTGCTAGATCAACTCCCACTCGCTTGCTCACATTTCCCTTGTGTTGGCTCTGGAAAAGGTAATTATTGAGCCCTGTGTAGATGACTCATTGTCCCCCAGATTTGTCTTAAGAGGAAAGTCTTCGCAAAAGTCATGGATGGCTGCCCTTGGCGTGCCGCACGGTAGCGAGTGACAAATTAGAGGCCGTCCCCTGAATACATTATATTCTATTCATAGAATACCGCTTCCCTGGCCTGCTGTGATGTTTTTGTACGTGCAGATGTGCTCGTTAGGTACATTGGTGGCACCCCTCTGTTGGAAGTTTGGTGTAATGGTTCAGAAGAGGATGATTGCATCGTCGTTTTTAACGAGGTCTACCATGTCCCACTGAACTCAACTCCTTCTGGGTGAGCCCGGGCGTAACCTCCTTCTGGGAAAGCTGTTGGCTCATTTCGCTACTTCTTTCTGCGCAGGGTATCGATTGATACTGCAGGAGGATGAAGAACTGGTGACCCTCTAGGATTTATTTATTCAATTACATTAATTAAAGAACTTCCAGTAGTCACTTACTATATAATTAATACCTCTCTTTTTCTTTCTCTCTCCCCTCTCCCCTTTTTTTTCTTTTTGCAATAGCTACTATATATTAATCAACTTATATAGCTTTTAAAACTTATTCAGGGATAACTTCATTCGTTTTGTAATGTAACTGCAACTGTCTTTCCTTTTGCAGCCTGATTGTAACTTTGTTTTATAGCTCTGTGAGTCTGGTCTCTAAATGGTAGAAGAGGAGTATCGCTTAGGTTATGAAAATATCAATTTTGGTTACTTTTGAGAAACAGAGAAGTAAATTGAGAAACAGAGAAGTAAAGTTACCTTTCAGATTATCCTGGGAAGAATAGCCATAACTAATGATTATTTGAAAGGAGCTTCCCAGTCTGTACTTGTAGCCCAACAACAACAACAACAACAACCAGTGGCCCATCAACTGAGCAGGACATCCTCCCTCCGTGGAACCCAGGCTGCCAGCTACGATCACAATGGGAAGGCCCAAGGTTTCCTTCCCTGATGTTGTGAGTAAGAGGATATGAGCCAGCCTCATTTTGCCACACTTTGAGCCTCTGGGTCCACATTGCCATTTGGTGCAGCAGAAGGCACTCAGTTCTGTGGTCCCAGTTCTCCAATTTCGGCCCCCTGCTCATTTATCCAGCCCCCCTGTTCCTTTTTACAACTCCCAGTCCCACATGCAGCCGACGACCGTGTAGCCTCGAGGAAGAGGTTACCTTCAAATATCTCGGTGATGTGCTAAATGTTGCGTTGCCCAAAACGTAAAGGGAGCACGGCGTGTTCCTGGTGCACCTTCCACTATAATTTGGCTGATTTGACTTGACTTTGCATTTCTCAACCCATAGAAACAATCTTCCTTAATTATAATATAGTAGTAAGGAGACTCTTGTGATTAGGATCTAATTAATGAAGCACATATATAGCAATTAACACAGGAGGCTGCCAAGTGAAGCAAAGGAATTTTCTTTTACAAGGAAGAAGAATACCGGCCCCCGTTGAGTTCTGTCTCTGGCAACCATGTGCTGTAAGCAACCTTTTACTTCATAAGCTGAGCCAGATGGCTGGCTTGCAGGGCTCACGTGGGAGTTTTGCTGATGGAACTGAGCTTCTTGGCTGTGTCCAGATGATTATTTCTGGGGAACAAGAGACACCGCTTTCCTCTTTACTACTAGTAGTACTATAGCACGAACCCTGATCAGCCAGGGAGACAGTGTAATGGTGACAGGGGAGGGATCCCTGTGGAGGAAAAGCATGTTTTTTTTCTTTTTTGCTCATGTCTAATTGCTGCCATTTCAACAGCCTCATGGAAGCAATAGAGTGAGGAAACAGATTAGAACGGAATGCAGGAAGCTTCTGGTCCAGCTGATGCCACTCCTTAGCAAAGCGTGTCCTGCTTAAAAAAAGGGGGGTGGGGGAGGGTGGTCTTTAATGCCCATGTGGATAGGCAGCCATCCTTTAGGTTTTTTTCACCCCTGAGTCCCCAGAGTACTTTGGGGATTGAGGAGTGGGGTCAGTGACATGGAAATCAACCCATAGTCACATATTAATTGTCAGCCCAAATGCATATATGTCTGTTCAGTGGACTCAACTGAAGCAAATATGGATCATCCTTCTTGGAAGTTTAATACACTCTTTTAGGCCCATAGTCCCATATTATTTGTCAGCCCAAATGCATATACTGTATGTCTGTCTGTTCAGTGGCCTCAACTGAAGCAATATGGATCACCCTTCTTGGAAGTTTAATACACTCTTTTAGGAAACAGGAGAGAGAACCTGCAAAACACACACACACATATTCATTCTCCCTCTCCCTCTCCCCACTCATAGGGAATATATTTGGTTTTAACTATGGTGAAAGATATATCTGAGACCTAGTTGTAGCACAGTGGGTTGGAGTGCCTGGCTGCACACCCCTGGAGCTAGGGGTTTAAATCCCTGCTGTGCTTTGGGAAGAGGGGCCAGCCAAAGTCACCTACAGTATGTGTGGCTGGTGGGGGTGACATGCTCTGCCACTTGAACCAACGCGGCCAAGCTGCACAGTCCCAGAGCGCCACCTGAAGGCAGGACTGGTAAACCACTTTTGAGATCTTTTGAGTAGAAAACCGCGGCAGTTGTGTCATAAATCATCAGTAACTTGGTGGCACCTAATTAATTCAGTTAATGAAAATCTTTGCAATATGGGTAAGAGAAAAATGTTCAGTTTTTTTTTTTAGTTGGAAACATCCAAAACATGCACATTTCTTTGTAAGAAGCTGAGAGGAACCAAAAAACACAGATTAACCCCTCTGGGCCCAAGGCTATGCCTCCTTAATTCACAAATTTTATAAGGCTAGGTTTGAACACCTGTGTTTTCAGCTGTGTATGTGCTGAATTAGAATAACCACCTCGTTCTCTGAGAACTCGCTTTAACACAAACATGGCAGGCAGGTTCAATATGGCCTCTCCATAGTGAGACTAACTGTAGCTATTGAATCTGGCCAGCACATCTATCCTTTAATTTGTGTCTGAAGAATCTGCCACAGTTTACTTATCACATGTTGGATAGAGAAGGAAGCTGAGGCTTAAGGATTTTGAATGTGGAACCAAGTGAAACCTCCAACTGCTTCTGTTTCTGCTGTATGAGACTAACCCCCCCACCCTAACCCAACTTGAGTCCCTCAAAAATCTGAAAAACTGCTCTTTCATTTCCTGCGTCAAAGAGATTTGGTGTCATCTTATGCACACTTACTTGTAAGTAAGCTTGGTTAAGTGCAACAAGACTTATTTATGAGCAAACATGTGTAAGATGGCTCTGTAAGTGTGGCTATTAACTTAAGAGGAAGCGTGAAACTAAGATGTAAAGGCCATGAAGATAGGTAAAACTTTGCAGATGAATTCCAGTAGGGAGCTCTCTTACCTTTTAGCTTGTCTTAGACTCCTGTCGTAGATCTGCTTGGCCTGAGAAACCTCACCTTGTTCTCTTCTTCCTGTGGTTCAAGCTGTCTGCATGTACCTTTACGTAACAGCTAAAATGCACAGATTCCTTTGATCAGTGTTCTATATATTTGGGAAGACACAACAAATGCCATTCCTTTATCCATCCTTTGGGAGGTAGTACTGTACCTGGTTCACCTGCATTTCACAAGAGATTGCATGACAGCTTAGAAGTAGGGTTGGGTGCCAGAACTGTTAAGGATGGGCCAATTTTTTTTAAAAAATGTCAATTCTTAAATTTGGTGGATGTTTGTTCTGGGATTTTTTTCAGTGTATCACCTGATCAAATTCATTTCCACCCATCCATTTTGAATTGGAGAAAGATTGGTCCCTACAAGAAAGATCTTCCAGCATGCCAAGAGCTGCCAAATTCTGCAGTATTTATAGGCACACATGCACACAGTATAATGCTGGGGGATTACAGAACTTATGTTAGCTACTTCTGGTTTAGGTTAATTAAATGACTCAGGGACTCAGGAGGAAGAGAGCGAACTAAAACTGTGCAGAGGTGTAACGAATTAGTCTTCACATGTTTGTTTCTTCT